CTTGTGTGTGTGTGTGTGTGTGTGTGTGTGTGTGTGTGTGTGTGTGTGTGTGTGCTCCTACTTAACCATATTTTGGAGACAAATTGGTACCCAGAAGTGAGCGAAACCTGACAAAATCACCCAAAACCTATCTTTGAAGACGTCCTCATTTGTAAAACTGTGTGTTTTGTAATTTGTGAACATACAGCAGGATACAAGCGAGAGGAACTGATCAGACATGTATCAGAAGAAGGTAGACAGATGGTATCAAATACAGCATGTTACAATACATTATGCCATTTGATACTGTATATAGACATATATATTGATACTGTACATTACCATGGTAGAGTCTGCACATTACTATAACTCACCCTTCATCTGAAGAGTTCAGCTATAGCATAGATTCAGTCATATGGCACAGTGAGGAAATTTACTGTACTGCATTGAGGGTAAACTCTGTTAGCACAAAACCTTATGGCCATGTCATACCTCCATCACACCTTTTGATAACACACTGGATATATACTTTTACAAACAATGGATTTTATGTGAGTTATGCAAGTTAGATAATGTAAGTGTATTTTCTAACATGACAATTATTGCCTGTATTACTGTAATTTTTCAGCAACAAAGGTGATTTGAAACATGTATCTTGCATTGTTTGCTCTTGAATGAACTGATTGTTAAAAGTACTAAATTGAAAGAAGATCATACTGTTGTGTTTCGGTGGTTAAATCAAATGCTCTCAATATATAATACAACAATCTTATGGGACCCACTTTATATTAAGTGGCCTTAACAACTATGTACTTACATTTAAATTAATCATTTGGTACAATGCACTTATTGTGTACATACATGTTTTTACATTGTACTTATATTTTAAAAATACCTGCATGTAATTACTTCTGTAATTAATTTCTGTAATTACATTTATAATTACAATGTTGACCCATCCCTTACACCTTGCCCCACCCTTAAACCTACCCATACCACCAAACCTGTCCCTAACCTTACCCATATCCCACCTCAATAGCAGCAAAAGTGTTTTGCAATACAATATGAACACAATAAGTACATTGTACTTATTTTTTGATGTAATTACATAGTAGTTCAGGCCACTTAATATAAAGTGGGACCATCTTATGTATTGAAACAATGATTGTGTGGATGAAAATATGTGTAATTGTAATGAAAGCATGAGATCAGTTTTTAAAAGAATGACGCGATCAGTTTGGATTTTTGTACTAACAGTTTTGAAAATATACACCTTACTTGTGAAAATGGTACCAAAGCAAATTAAAAAAACTGTAACCGAACTTTTTAATATATGAGAGACGAATTGTCTTTAAAAAAAAAAAATCTTAATAAATTTTTGTTTTATATCTATATTTTTGTTTCAGTGCTTGCTGCCCCGGCTCCAGAGACTAAAGCTAAAGTGGTGCTCAGTGGTAAGTCTATGCATAATATGATGGTGTTAGATAATGCCAAAATAATATTGATCCCTGAACATCATGTAGATCACAGTTCTCACATACATACATTGTACATTGTGTCCTCACTAGGTATGATGCAATAAATCTTTAAGAAAGAAATAAAAATTTTTAATAGCAACTATCAAAGGTTTTGCATGTTGTAATGTCAGGCTTATGAAGCAGAGGATCTACGTGTTGCTTTATTACCAAAAAGCAAGATCAGAACAATGCCAAAACATGTGTCATGCTGTGAAGCGACATTGCATTAGTCTAAAATCATGCTGTATTTTAAACATTAAATATATTCTGATTTGCTGTGATTTTGTTGCTTCGTTCAGCAATTCACTGTCAATGAGGACAGAAATATTACTTGAACTTGATGTGTAACAGCTAGTTAGAACAAGGTGTCAGACCTGATGCTAAACTACCAGTCAAAAGTTTGAGGTCGGCAAAGTTTTTAAAGTTTATGACAGAAGTCTCCTCACCTAGGCTGCATTTTTTTTATTAAAAAAACAATAAAAACAGTAATATTGTGAATTATTACCATTTTAAATAACTGTTTTGTTTTAATATATTTTCAAATGTAATTTATTTCTGTGATGCAAAGCTGAATTTTCAACATCATTACTTCAGTCTTCAGTGACACATGATCCTTCAGAAATCATTCTAATATGCTGATTTGGTGTTCAAGAATCATTTCTTATTATTATCAGTTTTGAAACAGTTGTGCAGCTTTTTGTGGAAACCATTATACTTTTCAGGATTCTTTGATGAATACAAAGTTCAAAAGAACAGCATTTATTTGGAACATTCTTTTGTAACATTATAAATGTCTTTACTGTCACATTTTATCAATTTAATGCATCCTTGCTGAAAAAGTACCACCCCACCCCCCGTAAAAGGTAGTTTATCTTATACAGATGATATTTTGATGGTTTCATTATTCAAATGTAAGAGAATTTTGAAAAAAGACATTTAAAGCTAACATAAAATCAATTAAATTAGAGTGTAACTGGACTTAATGGTTTCATGTATGCAAATGATACTAATGCTTCCTTGCTGAACAAAAATATTATTTCGTTTTTTAACTTTCTGACCCCAAACTTTTGAACCGTAGTATATGAACATTAAAATAACATATGAACATTAGCATATAGATGGCTTCAAATGTAATGTACATGCACTAACAGAATTGGATTTAATGGGGTGATTTAATCAGCATATGGTCAATATGGGTAATATCAGTGCAAAATGAGAGGTTTAGGCTAAGGGTTAGATTTGAATATGTCCATCCGTAACCCCTGCACTCTTCTCTGACCTCTTTGCACTATCCTATTAGAGCAGTCCAGCTCAGTCCACAAACTGGATCCTATAGTGGAGCTGTCTGAGGAGGAGAAAGGTAAAGCAGTAGAGTGATTGAGTGTAGTCGTCTGTGGCATGCTCGCATCCCGTCTGCATGGATCTGTGGCTCAGATTCAGTCTGAGCATGTGCTAAAGTGAAGTGCTGACTCAGCATGCCAAAGTATAGGCATGAGCTGGAAGATCTGTCTCCTCAGTAAATACAGACGTTACAGCATGCATGTAATCATTGGACAGCTCAGAGCAAAAGAAAGGAAATTTCATTGTAAAGATACAGTAAATGAGCATATATTTGTCATTCTCTGTTTATGGGTTTAAAAAATATAAAAGTCATTGTACAATTGCAGTGGCATTTCCAGTTATTTTTATTTCTATATTTATTTTTTCAGTTATGTTGTTCATTATATTTATATTTTATATTCTATTTATATTTTTTCCCATTTTTGCAAGGTCAGACTAAATAATT